ATTCATCCTGGTTCTGAGGCTATTGGTGGATAGGCCTACATACTGTGCATCACATTTATTACATTGTAGTTGGTAGATAATGTTCTTCGTTTCACAAGTGTTGAAGCCTCGGATGTTGTAGTTTTCTTTGGTTGTGGAACTGGAAAATGTTTGGCTGGGTTGATTTATTTCACATGTTTTACATCTCTTGTTATCACAGGGATATGAACCGTTAGGGCGTGCGTTGTTTGGGTTGTTGTGGGCCGGGCTTCAAAAATTAGTTTCTTTTTCCTTTTCATTAGTTTTTTCTTTGGAGCAATAGTAATTTTTGGCCGAGGCTTGCGAAGCCTAAATTTGGCACTCACCAGTTCTTTAGTGATTTTCACTTTGAGCATACGTTTTCTTCTTTGATGTTTGATTTCTTTGAATATTTCAGAATATTTCTTATTCCTCTGGTTAACAACGCACTGCTGGACTTGTTGTGGTACTGTGAGATGTCAAAGCTCTCGTGGCTGACTGAATCGTCCACTAGTGACATTCTCCTCACAGACTCGTCTCTGGATATTTTCATAGGTGACAAGTTGGGACTGTCCTCCACGCTGTCTCTTAGCACCTCCGCCATCTGCTCTTCAAGACACCATTGTGGCATCGTAGGTTCCTGTGAGCGACTACAGTTGTGTTTAAACAAGACCATCAGACATGGGAACTTGCAGCCACACTGAGCACACTTGTTTGTTTGATTGTCATCGTTATTCTTGTGCTCCTTCCAGCACACACGTTTCTTCTTGTGTCTGTAGAAGGAGGTATTGTCAAACTGCACATCACATCCACCACAAATTTTCAACTCTGAATCGTTCTCCGTTTTCTTCATTTCCCATAGAGGTTTGGCTTTAAGTTTTTTGTCTTCTGTTTTCACATTCTTCCTTTTGCCAGTTACCGCAAAGATCTTGTTCTTGATTTTGACACTGGATTCCAGCATGGCTTCCTTCAAGACTTCAAGTACTTTGGAATTTTCTATCAGCTCATCGTCAACTAGACCTATCTCATTTTCTTTATCAGGCTCTTCCGTTTTCTCTCCAACTACTTAGACTGTCTGGACACTGGTGAGAATGTCAGAATGTTTCTCAGAGTCTTGAATCATATTCTTAGCCTCCAGGGGTTGGCATTCCTTCTCTAACGCTTTTTCTTTTATTGGATCCCTGTTTAAATGTGCTTTTTTGATTTTCATATCTTTGTTTTGAGTCCTTTCCTCTTGGGAGATGTTTTCTGCACCGTAGTTGTCAATCTCAAATGATTCCTCTGCTGTTTTGTACAATTAATCATATTTAAAACATGTCAGAGCAAAGTTGTCATCGATACGTCCTCCACTGTATCCTGGACATTTTCCATGCAACGACCAGCCTAAGTAACTCCAGGATAAAACTGGCGAGTTAGGAGGTCCTTCCACAACTTTCCTTGTCAATATTAGGTTGCAATTATCTTGACCAATCAAGATGGTAGGTTTGGCATGAGATGTTGGTAGAGGTTGGTCGATTGAATTTAAATGAGACCATGTCTCACGAAGCTTTACTGAATCGATCGACTGTTGGGGTAAATCTAAGGGAAATTGAGTTCTTACATTAGTCAATGTGAAAACTTTGTCTTCATAGAGCCCTTTTATTTTAAGTTCAACTCGTCTGGACGTTGGGTCAAAATGTTTAGTTGCATTTGACCAACAAGTGGTAAGGGGTTCAATGCTACCACTGACGCCTAATTTATTGGCTGTAGTTGAATCTAGTAGAGATATGGTTGAACCGTCATCTAAAAGTGCATATGTGTCGATCTGACAGCTTGGACCATAATGTCACTGGACATACTCTTAGTAAAACACGGTTATTTACCGAGTGATTGCTTATAAATTCTTCTTTTGATTTACCTTCCTGCCTGAAAGTGTTCTGTACTCTGTCCCAGCTGATCTCTTGGGCATTTTTAGTGGCACTGTGAGTATGCAGAAGGCGATGGTGGGATAGTTTGCACCCATTGATTCCACAAGGTTTCTTTAAATTGCAAAATTTGATGTGGTGACGACGGAAGCAAAAGAAACACAGTTTTTTCTCAATTATCATCTTCCACCGCTGCAAGACTTCTGCTTTTCTAAAAAGCTTACATTTATCGGTTTCATGACCCTCCGAGCAAAACATGCAAACGTTTTCATTGGGCGAATTAGTAAAAACTGGTTTAGGGTCACTTCTCTTCCGCGTTGTCTCCTCGGGTGGACGAAAATAAATACTCATAACGGAACACTGATTTTCAAGCCAGTTACAGAATACTTTCAGGTCAGTAGGTTTTTCTAAATGCATGCTATTTACATGTTCAGCCCACCTGTACTTTAGAGTATATGGGAGCTTACTTAAAAGTTCATTCAACAAGAGAGGATTTATTAAGTACATTTCCAAATCCAACGACTCTGCGGTAGAGGTCAGGTTTAAAAGAGTTGTTGAAAACTCAATAAGGCTGACAGCGTCATCCTCCTTGACTGGTTGGAGCATGCGCGCCTTTTTCAACATTGACTCGACTATAAACTCTGGACGTCCAAAACGCATTTGTAAAGTTTTCATTACTGTACTCAAATTTTTTCCTGATATAAATAGAGGTTTTACCATTTTAAAGGCATCTCCCTCCAGACAATTTCTTATTCTGTCAAGGTTTTCATCGTCATTAAAAAGGTGTTTAGTCTTATTGTAACAGGAATAGAACATGGGCCACTCGTCTGGTTTCCCGCTGAAGGATGGAAGACGCTGTCAGCAAGAGACAGGTTGGTTGGGGTTAGATAAATTGATAGCTTTTGAAAAGGAGTCTGCTAGTTTATCAATAGCCGTGGACACGATGGCTGATGATGTCAAAGGAACTGATGGTTCCTCATTCAGTCACCTATTGACTTTGACATTAGAGTCCTCCTCAACAGTAGCAATATTGAAGCTTACCTTGTCAGGGTCTTCATTATCTTCCAATTCCAAATGACGACTGCCCAAGACTGAGGCGGACTGACTACTTCCCAAGACCGAAGCAGACTCAAGTACGGTCCTTACTCTCAGCAGACGCTTCTGTCGTTCTAGTTCTTTTGCTTCAGCTTGACGTCGTTCCATTTCCCTCTCCTCTCTTCGCCTCTGTTGTTCCTGCATTTGACGCTCCATATCTTGTCTCTGTCGCTCCATCTCTTGTCTCTGTCGCTCCATCTCTTGTCTCTGTCGCTCCATCTCCTTTTCTTCAAATTCTTTCAGCCGTTGCATCTCCCTTTCTTCATGTATTTTCTCAAGCCTGTTTATTTCTTCTATTTCTTCTAGTTGCAGTTGAACTAACCGGCGCTTGCTGGAAGTTGAAGATGTGGTTTTTGACTTAGAAGGGGGTTTTGGAGGTTGACCATCTCTTTCTATGGGTTCCTCATTCTTGTCATTTACAATTTCAGGGGAATATCTATTTGGAGGATGTTTCTCTCTCCCTGACTTTCGTATGGACATATTTCTTGACATAATTTATTAGTCGGGTTTCGGCACCAATGTTAAAAATATTAAAGACAGACAAGACAAAAATGATAGACTTGACCAAAGATGTGTAATTATTTGGACTATTTACAAAAATCTTAATAATTAATAAAACATATGTTAGTTCAACTGTAAGAAAGAAGGCAGGCATAGATTAGACATAGATTATTACAACTACCTTAAAACCACCCTTTCCTTATCTGATGTTGATTAGTAGTAACATTAATAATAGTTACAAGTCACAAGATTATTTTATTTTATTCATAGAGTTCTTTATTTGACTTTGTTTTGTACGAACTATGGAAATGCAGAAGCAACAAATACATAAACAGCAGAACAGCACAGCACTGAATGTACGACTCAAACCGCAAACTCAGTCAAGTTCACTCTAACTGAGTTTAACTGTTTGACTCAGTCCAGTCCAGTCAGTGGCTGAATTATTGATATTTTTATTTCCAATGGTTAAATGTTGGATTAAGTTACTAATGATTTCGACGAATCATATTGCATTCGATCTGTAACCACCGTGACAAATGGCAACACTGCACATTGTGCAAGACTGCTATTTCAACTTAACGGGTGGAATGTATTTTTTTTTATGGATGAGACTACAGTACATGGCTACATAACAAACAGCTAAGCCTTCATTCAGCAAACCAAAAAGGGCTTTTATTTGTTATTGTTTGTATGTATAGTGATTCATACTTAATTTTGCTTTTGTCTTTCTCTTTCTCGAATGAGGTGAGAAAGTTTAAAATGTACCGCGCATCACTATTGGGATTCCCCGAACACCAGTGACAGACAATAAACCCATGTCAATGGACTACAGCAATAGGGGTCCAGAACCTTCTACAGTCCTACGCCGGTCTGAAAACAGCTTTATCTTGGTGTACTTGAACTCTCTACTCTAGAAGGTTCTTTGGCAAACCTATACAAGGGACCATCTTCCGACAAACGCCAGTATAGTAAGTCTGAGTCTGAGTCTGGTCTCTCGAGTTGAGTCAGAGATCAGTGAAGCGACCGCACGCCGATGTGAGTGACCAGTGTTAGTGACAGTGACAGTGACAGTAAAAGTGTAGTGAGTGTTGTGGCAGAAATAGTAATAAATCCTGTAAAGGTTAGCTGTAAGTAAAAGCATTGTAAATTAGAATATCACGGCTTTAGGTAGGCTTAGTTAGGTTATTGTAATTACTGTTTTTAAAGAATATAGTGTTAATAAATAGTAGTGATGGTCGGATCCGGATTTCGGAGTACCACCTCCGCCGGATCCGAGCTGGAACCGGCTCGGATAAAAAAAATTGCCCCGCAACAATACTATTTTATGCCAATATCTCCAATTTATTGATTACTCTCAGTGAAGTAAAGCAATCACAAAATTTTTTCTTTACAATTACAGTCTAGTTACTACGATTAAGGTTAGTTATACTTAGGTACATTACAATATAAACAGTATTTTGTATGTATAAAATGTTAAAACTATTCTGTATTACTCTATTCCAGGTTGGTGAAGCGGATGCACTGGTAACCCTAGCGTCTGCAGCCTTGGGTTGTGACCAGGCGACCAATGGTATCAAGCAAGTTGAGGTAAGATGTCATAGTGATAACATCAAATGATTCCATACAAGTTTTGTCTTGATTTTTAAACAACATTCTTTACTCATATTTGGGTTAAAATTAGGGGTCTCAATCCCTTTTGATACCTAGAAATCCCGAGATTGGTGTCTTTTAATCCCTGGATTAACGGGATTGCAAAACCTATGTTTGTATTAACCTTTTTTGTGAATTTTAGGACTTTTACTTACGAAAAATAAATAAAAATACTTCCAATAGCACTTGAAACACATATACTGTTTACTTAAATTACGATAAGTTTATTAAAGTGTAAGTTTTTTTGAGTTTTCCTTTTGACAATTAACGCAAACAACGCAATCGATGTGGCAAACATAACATGGCAATCGGTAATTGAAGTATTATTTTCCTAATAATATTGAAGGCCTACAGATTAACCTATAAGCACACCATTATTATTTTATTATTAAGATTGATTAAATTTATAGGGTATATAAGTTTTCTAGTTTTCTTCGTATTTGGTTTTTAGTGCGGTGATTAAATTTTTTATGATAATAACTACATTTTTCGTACACACGCTACAAGCAGATGGTTTGTTGTTTGTTCCTTAAATTGTTTTATTGCTGTCAGTCAACATGACAATTTTACGCAGCAACTGGTGATTCTTCCCATATTATCTTTTTTTCTTTTAATTTTGATTTATATTATTCTTAGTAGTCAAATTTCTAGCTTTGCATCTTGGCAAGTTTAGTGCTGAGTGAAGCAGCATGACGTGTAGGCTACGTCCGAGTGCGGTTGCTCGTGTTTTTAGCGAATTTCCCTATAGGGAAGTAGCTATTACCGTAGGTCTCATGGTAAGACCTAGGCCCAGGACTGGTTTACTTTTTCATTTTGATGTCTCCAGAGCCCAAAAACACCATTCGTTCTAATTTTTATTTATGAAAATATGTATGTGTCCGTGAACAACTTGAGTAATTCTTGTTGGATTTTGATTAAATTTGGTTTAAAGGTGTAAGGCGGGATAAACTTGAATGAGTTCGCGAACCAGATGATTGGACCATGGGAACGGGGTTTTACGGAGGGTTTTATGGGGTAAAAATTGGGTTTTCTCATGTTTGACCCTCAAAACAAAAAATTTCCCAATTTATCTCTAAGCCTTTTTTAAAGACCTTAAAAAATAATTTAGTATATCATAGTGTTTTTGTACAGTTATTGGTAACGGAGAAAATTCAAAAAATTGTAAATTTAAAATTCCCATGTTATTATTATGGAGTATATTGTAAAACGTTTTAGTTTGCTTGTTTATGGATATATTTTGACCAAACTTGGCAAATTGATTTATTTTATACTAAGCTATTAATTAATACTTTACTAAAAAACACACGTTATTAGTTTCCTTGTAATAGCAAACCTAGGTACTCGTTAAACCTTATGTTATTTAAATATATTTAATTGAAAATCAATTCAGACAAATGGAAATTCGCTTTGTTGGCAGGTTTGCTGCGGCGGGGGTTTTTATGTATTTACTAAATCCTAGAGAGACACATCAACAATTATACACTGTAAATAAGAAAGATAGGTGATGGAAGTTCCGTGTGGTAATTCTTTACTTAGAAAACCGCAAAATCACAATGGTAACACTGGTAAGGTTTTAAAACATTAGAGGACTCAACCAGGAGACTTCACGTTCAAATGGCTGAAAAGTTAAAATCATAAAATAATATAATCCTGGGATCAATTGGCTGATTAACAGGGATTGGTTGAGACTAATCCCGAAATCCCGGGATTGGATTGAAGGCCCGGGATTGAGACCCCTAGTTAAAATACGTACCTAGGTGGTGTCCCCATCTCATAAACATAATGATAATGGCCTAAAATTAATTTAGAATCTATTTAAATTCTTCAACTCAATTGGTAATATAATATAGTCTTATGCAAATCTTTTAAAAATAGGTAAGGGGATTAGAAACTTGGAAGTAGTTGTATGGTTTTAAGTATTTATTATTGTACTAAAGATCACTTCAGATGATTAAATTTCTTCTGGAATATTCAATGATTTTTTTTTTTTAGAATTGTAAGAGCTGTTTACTTTTTTATATACTGGTGAAACTTAATTTTCAACAACTTTACATCTTATTAATAACTTTTTTAGTCCCAATATGGTAAACTGAGCATTGTTCTCTTCAAATCTTACCAAATTAAAGACATCTCTGTGTTATTTTAGAGTAGTGATATGTCAAAACCGAATCTCAAATCTCAAAACCATCAAAACATTGGAAAAGTTTCGGTTTCGAGATTCGATAGGCGAGTTTCGAGATTCAAAACACAGTAGGCAGATATATATCCGCCAATTATTACGACAGTTTTTGTTATAGTTGATTGTCTATAACATCATTAATCTTTGTAAAAACTTTTATTCAATTATATCTCACCGATGTATTAGGAATGTTTTTCTAAAAGAATAAGAAATTTAATAAAATAGTAAAATAAATAAACAAAAAAGTCAGAATAAACATTATAAAAAGTAAGATTTTTTTATCTTTTATTTAAATAAAATAATTTTTCTGGCTGTGTGCATACTATTGCTCGTCTGGGAATGGTTAATGTTTTACATATCTTATACATTTGATTTGTTTTATTGTAAATAAAATTATTTCTCTAGTCTCCCTTAATTTTCTGAAGTACAACACAACTAACTAGAAATAGTCTGAAGAATTATATTTTCTAGGGATGTGTCGGTTCCACTTTTTTTCGGTTCGGTTCCGGTTCGGTTCTTACACTGGATCGGTTCTCGGTTCTCGGTCCCGAGTACTTATGCTATAAATTCATTGATCGAAACAAAACAGTTGTAAGTGGCAGTACCTAAAAATATTGAAAGTCAAGGAAATGAATAATCAGATTTTATTGACAGAAATATTTTATTTAAACACCACGTAAGGATTCAATGTTCAAACCTAAACACAAGTAAACAGTAATTATTTGAAGACTTAATTCCTTAATTGAAAAGTACATATTGGCGGCAACAATTAACATTAAGAATTGGTAATTGCAGCGTAAGTTAATTATTGCAAAACGGTAATTTTACAAATCAATAACCAATTAAGCAGAATTAAAAAGAACAACAATTAACGCTGACCAATCAATGTTACAGTTTTAAATATTGGCTGAAAAGTGAAAAGTAACAGTTATATTTGAAAGATGTAAACACGGTAAACCCTTAAGCATAATAATTAATATTTATTACAAACAGCAAAATATTAATACAAAAATTGTAAACAACATAAATATGAAATGAGGAGTGATATTTGTAATCATAGCACAGATTTGATTTGTAATCAAATAAAATGCATAACCATGTTAGGCCTATTTTTTTTCAAACCGTCCATAACAAGAATGATTTATTCTAGGTTTCGGTTCAAAAATACCAACATTTTTACTCTGTCAGGATCTAACCTGTTTCGTTTTGTGTCCGAAATGTTTCCCGCAACACTAAAAAGCCTTTCACTGAAAGTTGTGCAAGGTGGCATGCACAAATATTTGTACGCCAACTTACGCAGATGTTTGTGGGAGCTTACTGACCAATACTCGGCGATTTTTTGGCCCTGTTTAGGGTCAAAAGTTTTTTCATTCAAATAAGCGTTGACTTCTGATTCCAAGGACTTTTCCTGATCTCCATCACCAGTATGTTCTTCCTGGCCAAACGCTTCCATGTACTGTGCCCAAAAACCTTTCCTTTTCAGTTGGGTATCTTCTTGTGGAGCCGGTGGTGGTGCTGCTTCCGACGTCGGAGTTGAAAATGTCTTCATTTCCTCCAGGACATGAATCTTTGCCATTTCAAAATTATCTTTCTTTTTGAACGGTGTTGACTTGAACCTGTTAATGACACATAATCTGTATTTATTCTCTTTCCCAAATGTTTTGATATAAGGTTAGAATTTTTTACTAGGTTGCTCACAATAGCCTAAATTTATTTTTTTAAATTGGTATTCATTATAATTTATTTTTTATGGCATTTAATATGATTAACGAACATTTTAGGTCTAGTAATGGTATGCTGATTAAAAATAGGGGAGGATTGGGACAATCAAAACGAATGTTTTAAGAACGAATAAGGAATGAAACATTTAAGTCTATTAATATGTCAAGGAACAACACCATAATTAAGTTTATATAATACTTTAATCAAATTAGTTTTCACTTGTCAGAGTTTTTAATTTTTAGATTTGATCAGTTATATATGAACTAAACTTAGGCCTAAGTAAAAAAGAATTCAGTAGGTAACTTAACACTTGTGTAACTAACAAAATGTGTTATACCTGGGATCAAGTAGTGTCGCACATGCATAAGTTCGATTTTCCTCCATGTCCATAAATCTTCTCTTCAATGAAGCTAATAAGTCATTTTTCAGACCTTGTAGTCCTGATCCCTGAGGTGCACGAGTTTCCAATACATGTTGAATTGTGTGTATCATTGGTATAATCTGAGAAGAATGAAGAAAATGTTTCATAGGCTACATTCAAACCATAATAAAAAAATATTTTTTACATCCATTTAATTAAAACATGGTCAACATTGAACTTTTCAGGTAGCCTACAGTAAATTTAAACCTAGCCTATTTTACTTATACGCTGAATTAAAAAAGATGAAAACTTTATGTTTATCTATTATTTAGTCCCCAAATCCAACATCTTAGAAAAAAGTTGTTCCTCTGTTAATGTTATATGGTAGGCTATAACTACAAACAGTGTCTATAATAAAGAAACATGGACGATATTTAGCGAAATATTTTCAGGCCTACCAGTACTTACAGATGTGGTAAGTAAAATGCACAAGATATTTTTTTTACCCTGCCATCAATCTTTTTTTATCATAGGCCTAACTCATTTAAATTTAAAGCTACCGGTAGCTAGTCAGTTTAGGGATATAATATAGTAAAACTTAATTATTTCTTTGCAAATGGTAAAATGATTCAAACTCAAATAAGAAAGCCAATACTGTACCTATATTTTCTTGTTAATGAAGTTCTTTGTGTTAGCCCTATAAATCAAATTAAAAACAGAGACTAAGGGACATTTGTGGTCATGGTTAAGAAATGTTAGGTCTAGGTCAGGTTAGGTACCTTGACTTATCGTAGTTTTCAACAGAACACATTCATAAGTTGAGTGGATAGGTTTCATACTGATAGGCCTGCCTACTTGAGCTTTGAAAATGAAATAGGCCTAAGGATAAATTTACTTCTGATTAGTCCAACAATTAGGCCCTATTTATTTTTTGAAAATATTTAAGGTGGGTTAGTGTATAAAGGAAAAAGTGTAATATAACTTAGGCCTACCTCAGAAATTGTCGATGTTTCCTTACTAAGCTGCAAGGTTGCATTCTCAAAAATTTCCAAGATGTCGACTGCATACTCAATAGTTTTCCAATCTTCATTGGTAATTTCAGTGGACAGCTTAGTCTCAGGATTGCTCCCAACAAGAATTAGAGCTTGCTTCTGTTCATGCAAGCGTTTTAGCATGTAAAAAGTGCTATTCCATCTAGTTGGTTCGTCTTGAATGAGTTTGTGACTTGGGACACCTAACTGAGCCTGGTAACTTTTCAGTAACTTAGTGTTTTTCGCAGAATGCTTAAAGCTACCAACAATTTTCTTGCATTTGGTCACAACATTAGAAATCCTGGCATTGTTAAAGAAACCATCTTTGATCACTAATTGAAGTGTGTGTGCCACACAGGGGATTGCTGTGAACTCGGACAAATTCAGTGCACACGTAATATCGGGACCATTGTCCCTAACCACAGCAACTACCTTTTGCTTGATACTCCATTGATCCAAAACCTTTATTAAAAAGGTCAGTAAATTGGTTCCAGTATGGCTTACTTCTGGAAAAGGCACAACCTCTAAACACCTATGAAATCTGGCGTTGTTAGAAAAAAAATGGGCAGTTATGGCCATAAAATCTACTTGAGCGACATTTGTCCACATGTCGGTAGTAATAGCCACACTTTCTACCTCCATCATCTCGGCCTGCACTTTCTTCATTGTTTCTTCGTACATTTCAACAAGTATTTTATTAGTAAACGTTTTCCTCGTAGGAATTGTATATCTAGGTTCCAAGTAATTTAAAAGACGTCGAAAACCTTTATTTTCCACCACAGATAAAGGTTGAATGTCTAAACAAATCATTTCTGCAACCAATTTATTTATGTGTAACGCTCTGCTGTCGGTTGTTTTGAATTTTTGCATCCTGTCAGCCATAGTTGGTAAGGTGATTTGCTTCGACCTTTTTAGTTTTATCCGTTTAGGATAACTAGGCCTAGCACCCCTGGGTGATGTTGTCGATGAGGACAGATTTTCTTCCATTTCCTGTAATGGATCAGGGTCATCTACATCTTCAATTGGTGAAAATTGTGACTGATGTAGGCCTAGGCCTAAAGGATCTCCATGTGTAGGTGTATCAACATCAAGCCTCAAAGGTGTGCTTGAAGATGGCCTACTCACAGTTAGTAATCCTACAAATGAACCCTCTGATTGGTCGGAATTAGAAGAAATAGGCCTACTTGTATCATCTTGGCATGTAGGCCTAGGCCTTACCTTATTTAGGTCATGTTCGATATCCAAAGTAACACTAAATTGAGACTGGCTTGAAGTACTACTAGGCATAGGTCTTATCTCTGAAGTCATAACTTGGCTGGAAGCACCACTAGTACAAGGCATAGGCATCATAGGCTTACCTGACTTCTGCAGAAATCCATCAAGAGTTTTAGCTTGACCAATACTCTCCTTTTTAGAGCTGGGCTCAGGAGCAAGATTAATTTTATGAGTTCTTAGGTGCTTCATCAAGTTTGAAGTGCTTTTAGAGTTTGTCATGCACCCGCCTCTTGAAATTAATTTTGAGCAAATATTGCACTTGGCAAACTTATTATTAACCTCGTCGATCTTGAAGTAAGACCAAACAACGGAAGACATCTTAATAGGTAGGTATAACCTCAACTCTGATCACCAAACACTGAAGGAGATTTAACGCACAATGCACACAGACCGGCTCCTCTACCCGTGCATACGCAAACGCAACACAGAGAAAGGGACCTAGAATCATGGTGGAAGGAAAATACATAGGTGTGCTAATTCCCGTCATATTCTGACGTCACTCGGATTGCAAACAAAAGATCACTTGATTCTTGATTGTAACTGTCAAATTAGTATATTTGTTATTTGTTTTGATTTGATTGTTATTGTTTTTATAATATTTTCAAAATGGTTGAATGTGTTCATTATAAAAACAATAACAACCAAACCAAAACTCTCTCTGTTTTAAGCTCTTTCCACCACCTATTGAATCTCACACAATTAAGAATGGCTTTACGATATGTTAACAGTCATAGATGAAATAAAAGTGTGTGAACAGTTTTTACAATAAAAAAATAAAAATTATATTGACTTTTATTTCATATTGATTGAGAGTAATGCTTGCCACTTACCTGTATGAACTATCCTCCATTGCAATATTGCATTCCTTTTTTCAATTTGCTGCAGACGGCTGCACATGACGTAACTTATTCTTTACCTGATACTTCGCATCAATTATGTAAAAGTCAAACAACAGTTTTAAAAAGATAATAAGGAAGGAGTAGGAGGTTGTGGTAAATAAATAGATCAATATTGTTATTTTATTTGTTCCTTCCTATTTGTTGAGTGCTGATGCATAGTCGATTCAATCAGCTGTCGGCGTCGGCTTTACGGCTTATCTTCAGCTGTTTGATCTGTTGACTTACGTAAATTGATTGAATAATTCATATGGAATTGCACAATACCTACACAAAAACAATTATAATTATAATAATATTTGCTCTTAAATTTTATATTCACTATTTAATATAAATGGTATTGAACAGTAGTAATTTAAAATGTAATGGTGATGCAAATTAATTAGAACGATCAGATCCAGGAACCGGGACCGAGGAATCGACATTTTGGCATCGACCCTCGGTTCCGGTTCCTTTGCTAAGAACCGGTGGAACCGAGAACCGACTTTTGGAACCGATACATCCCTAATATTTTCTCACATTTAACATTTTTATGAAATTTAAATTAGGCTATAAAACTTTGCATAAGTTTTAGTGAACCAATAATGGTATCATCCGAGTGTCTGTTGTATTAATACTGATAAATAACAGGATGTTCCACTGAAACGAGAACCAGTGTGGTGTGATGTGGGAATCATCAAAGGTACTTCATTTTTGGTGAAGAGCTTCTACGACCCCTCGACATTCGAGGATCCAGATCATCCTGACATTACTGTAGACAATCTGCCAGACTACACAGGAGCTCTCAAACTGGACCTGGAGCCTGGGACAGCTTACAAGTTCAGGGCAGCCGCCATCAACACCTGTGGCAGAGGCCCTTGGAGTGAGGTAGACTCCACATACAGCACTAGATGTATACTATATGCAAAAAACTAAATATTTTGTTTTAGGTTTGTTAAAACATACTAAGGTGTCCCAAAAACCTACACCTTAATTAGTATTAAGTGGGCTGTGCAGGGTATCCACATAACCATGAAACCATAAGAGCCTTGAATTTGGTCAACCGTGATAAATCTGGATTGAGTTGTGATTTTTCAGTTAAACTTTAAAATAGTTAAGGATTCTTATTCTTGAATCGTCAAAACTTTAAAAAGTCCTGATTTCAAGGAATCATGTTCTATGCTTTGGATTTGATAAACATTTTGGATTCATTTGGGACCACCGTGACATCCTGAATTGTAAGTTAATTGCATATAAACTCTTCAGTGATGGCGTTACCGATAATACTGCAAGTTTTTTAACCCAAAAATATTCCATTGTTATTAAAATCATGCGAGAAAAGCTAGAATGAAAATTGTATGGAATTTCCAAGAGAATTTTCCACTGCTAATGTCTTTCCTGAATACCCTATTTAAACCTCGACTTGACCCTTTTCATTATCAAAAACAATTTTGCAAATATGACAGTGAATTTAATTTTGAAGTTTGGTTGAATACCTGTTGTACTAACTATGTAGTTTAACTTGTTCACTTGTTTTTGCACTACTCGCACTCGCATGTTAAGTTATGTATTTGTTGATAGGTATCTGCATTCAAGACCTGTCTGCCTGGGTTCCCAGGAGCCCCATCTGCCATCAAGATATCCAAGTCTGCTGAAGGAGCTCACTTGTCTTGGGAACCACCTTCCTCCTCTTCTGGCAAGATTATTGAATACTCTGTCTGTCTGGCTGTGAGACAAGCCACCACCAACCAACAGGTACTATACTGTGTGAAATAAATAACAAGAAGAGGAATTTTTCTAAAAGGAATAGAGTTCAGCTAGCTAATCGGTACCTGAAAAAATGTGAGCTTACGAGTCCACAATAAAAGAATACAAAACACAACACTGATATTTTGTTCTGATTTAGGACTTCTTCAGATAGTAGGTCAGGACGAAATATCAGTGTTTTATTTTGTATTACCGTATTTTACTGTGTATCTATTAACTTCTGGACTCAATTTTCTCAGGCAAGCTAAATGAGCAGACCTTATAAAATAAATAAAAAACTAAATGAAATGAGTACTAATTGTTAAATAATGTTTTCAACCATATTTCCATATATGGGTGAATTTCAAATTGAGAGAGAAAATAAAAACAGAAAAAATAAAAAATATTATTTGGTTAAATACATACTTTTATTTATTTATTAGTAATAAACTAAGTGTTACATTATACATTGCTAACCATAGCAGAGCTTCATTGCAAGTTTTTCTATTTTTTATGAATATTTGTCTTATCAACTACAAAGACAACATCAGGTCGCTAACGTTTTTAAAAGTCTGAAAAAAATAGTAAATTACATTGAAAATTTAAAACAATGTTTATAAACATCTGACTTGTTTCCTAAATAATGCAATCTAAATATATAAAAGGCAAAGCCCTCACTGACACACTCACTCACTCACTCATCACTAATTCTCCCACTTCCCATTTACCTAGGAGGCTGAAATTCGGTACACCGATTCTTTGGGCATTAAATAGGAAAACTAAGTAGTTTTTATTCTGATCGGGCTTTCGGGCTCCGCCCCAGTGGCTCTGGAGTTTCCTATGTTAACCTTATGATTTGTCATATTAGAAAGGAATTAATGAATCTTAACAGCTGTTTCAATTAAACAAGTTGGTTCTGTTCGATGATGTTCAATAGCATTAAATTTACAAGGATTACCAACACTGCAGCACTATTTTTTTTATTTTTATTTATGACAACAGCTAATTTGCAACCAAAAGGTGTGTGAGTGTAGCGAACGAACTTCAACGTGGAGGCGAGTTAGCGTAGCGAACGAGGTAACCTGAAGGCAAGTGAGCGCAGCGAACGAGCTCCAACCTAAAGGTGAGTGAGCGTAGCGAACGAACTTCAACCAGGACGTGATTGAGCCATGCGAACGAACTTCAACCAGGACGTGATTGAGCCATGCGAACGAGCTCATCTTGAAAATTAAGAAGCTAAACGGGGCAAAGCCCGCGAGTACAGCTAGTCAATCATATAATTAAAACTAGTGTACATGTTGCTCGAAATCGAGCAATTGCAAAGAAGTACAGGAGTTATTTATAAACAAATAACTTGTTTAAAAACTAATAACAGTCATAATTTCCGATGGTTTTAAAAGAGTCAACTAAAAGATTATTAACTAATGGAAATACTCACAAATCTTCCTGTTAAATTTCATACATCTGTTGCAACAATTGGTTATCACTGGTTTCTTGATGTCACTCACTTTTCACTGTTACTTATGATTGGTTGGTATTATATCGAGTATTTTAATTATATTTTTAAAAGTGAAAGAGAAGAATAATTTTATAAAATAATTCAAACTGTATAAATAACTTCCAGTGATTACAAATTTCAGCTTATTAAATAATAAAAGATAGTGTTTGATGAGAATGTGAAATATGGAAATTTACAACAGGTGAAACCTTTTGCCCTTTTACTGTATGTAAACATGTGATAATTTAGAGGTATTAATTTAGCTAATAGTAGGCCTAGGTGTTTGGATACATAACACATGGTTTATAAACAACTTATATACAAATTCAAAAGTAAACAATGAGGATAATTTTGAAACATCTCAGTATAGATGTACAGTAGACTCTTGATAATTCAAAATTGGTGGGCCAAGCATATAAATTTGAATTATCAAGAGTTCGATTTATCGGTAGAAAAATAAACCATTCGAATTACAGAGAGTTCATTTTTTTAATACATACAAAGGTACAGCACGTTACAATAAAACATCATACCGTATTTTAGTAGGTACACTTTTAAACAATCAACGGCTTATTTTTCAGTTACTGTAGTTGCAAAGAAATCTGTTATTTAGCGCTATATATTTCGCCAATAGCTGAACAACAACTAGCTGTCGACAACTACGTTTGTGCTCAAGGAGATGTCGCGCAATCTAGAGATTGGATTGCCAACTTAGAAAAACAAGTCAGCGAACTAACTCAGACTACTGCTCTAACTAAACAAACATCAAAACGTCCAACACTAGCCTACCATAGGAACAGGATGTACTGTACTGTATAGTTTCCTGTTATAACAGGAAGAGATCACTTCGAATTATAGAGTGTTTTGCCGACTAAACTTCGAATTACTGCGTGACTTTGATTTATAGAGTGTTTTTTTCGACAAAACTTCGAATTACAGCATGACTTCGAATTATAGAGTGTTAACCGACGAAACTTCGAATTACTGAGTTACTTCGAATTATAGAGTGTTTTTCCGACAAAACTTCGAATTACTGCGTGTTACAAATTGACCTGCCCTCTATTTGGACTTTGAAATACAGAGTGTATCAAAATGCATGGTAAAAATTTGAAATATTGAGAGATTCTCTAGGGACTGAGCCTTCATTTTGAATTATTGAAAGTTTTGAATTATCAAGTGTTTGAATTACCAAAAGTGGACTGTAATTGTAAAACACTTAATAGGGCTTAATAAAGACACAAAACAATGTATGTACAGCATAAAAGTTAATTTATTTTTATTTTTTAAATTCCATAAACTGCTTTAAGTTCCTCTATGACGTCTTGGGGACAGTTAGCGACCTGACAAAAACGGCTTTCAAATATTGTTTTAAATATTAATATATGATAAATCCTTTCATAAATTGTATTAAAGACACCGAAAGTAAAAGTTTGTCAAGAGACAACTTTAGTAAATTTAAATTTACCTTACTAAAGTTATAAAGTGTAGTTTTATGACTATTTCACAGATAAATAGTTACTTAAAGGTAATGAGGTTATATTAAAGAAAAACATTTTTATCAAATGAAATGATTAACAGGGTGACACTAAAACAGTAAACAGTACACCAACACAGCTTGCGTTTGTGCGAGTGTACTGTGGGGCACAGAACCAGGCTGTGGTACAGAACACGTCTCTAGCTGCTGCTCACATTGACATGACTACCAAACCCGCTATCATCTTCAGGATTGCAGCCAAGAATGAGAAGGGTTATGGACCTGCCACTCAAGTCAGATGGCTCCAAGGTAAATCGTACACTTCCATTTCAGATTAACCTCTGTGTTTTATCTTTTGTAACATTATTCAAGTGTATTAAATGATTGGATTTTATTTGAATAATTTTTGCATAAAATATGATAGGTGTTTCTTTGTTTTTTTTTTCTCTTTAAAAAAATAAAAATAAATCAGATCAGGCCTGTTTTTGAACCTGTCTGCGCCCAGGCAAAACCATTAGTAGCGCCCCATTGCAATATTTATCTATGTATTAATAGGCAAGCATGTTTCTTTAAAACCTTTTTTCTTAGCTTATGTACATCGCAGGGAAAATCTACGCATATTGTTAGAAAGATATTTTCCAGATGTGCAGAATCCCTTTATAAATTAAAATAGGCTCAAAAATAAGCATGAAACATAAATTTAAAATTAAAAAAAAAATTCACATGGGCCTTATGGGTTGGCAAGCTGGTGACAAAATAACAATCATAACAAATATTTTAACTTATAAAATAAGATTGTAATTTCATGATGGATAGCCTCTAGATCATTAAAATTAGCTGAATATGGTTTATGTTACCTTGCCTAAAATGATCCTGTATAGTTGTCAAACACGACAGCTGTTTCGTGCTACAATGAGCACATCTTCAAAGTGAAGAAACACAAAATAAACTCATTTAGCCCGCGGTTGAGCACATCAAAAAACACATAAAGTACATGAAGTTCACACAAAAACACATATTACAAAGGGTGAGGTTCATAACTCCAAGTTTTCATACCTCCAAGTACTTTTAAATACAACATTTCATAACTCCAAGTAAAATTATGTCCAAGTAAATTAAAACCAAAATATCATAAGACCAAGTTTCATAACTCCAAGCGTTCATAACTCCAAGATTCATAAGTCCAAGTTAAAATAAAACCAAGTAAATTAAAATACAAAATTTCATAACTCCAAACGTACAGATTTGCAAGGACCACAAGTCCAAGTTTCATAACTCCAAGGGTTCATAACACCAAGTTTCATAACTCCAAGTGACAATGGGTACAGTCTGTGCAGGAAGCGATAACGTACGCACACACACGCACCCATTACACACACACATGCTGGAAGAGAGTTTCCGATGTTGGCGAGATTATTCGAAGTGGTGCGTTCCCTCTCGCTTTGCACGTTCGTCTAAATTGTAATACAAATAGTGAGAGGATGAAATTTACATATTTAAATTCTGCGTAAACTGATGTTTAATACTATATAAATACAATTTAGTTCGTGCAGATGATTAATGTTTAATAATGGAAAATATGAAAAGGTTGTTCAATGTAAACATGAAAAAGTAAGTGAGCGAGGATTTTTTTTATTTTTTGGTCAGATGAAAACTTTCAGCGAGAAAAGTGTAGATAATAAGATGTTCTTCAATTTTTGTTCCAAACATTTTTTCGTAAGACTTTTAGTTTGTCCAATAATCGACTTAGATGACCACCACGAGGTATGAATGAATTAGTTTACGCGCACAGTATTTTAGCAATTGCCGTCTTCCAACAACAATATTAAGGAAATACAGTATTAGTTCACGTTTTAAAATTTCTAAACTATGAAAAATATTTAGTCTTAACTTCTTCAGCTGTATATACGAAATTTCGAAATTTTTTCTACATATTATTCGTGGTGCACAACGCAAATAAGTCGTAGTGCATTTTTTTCCACTATTTTTCATCTCCTATTTTCGGAAAAAATTTAAACAGTATTAATCCAGGTTAAGGTTTCATCTTGTAGCATTCATTTGTAAATATAAAATTTGATTGTAGTTACAATTACTTGTTCCCTCATAAATCTGTATTCCGTAACAAATCTGAGAGTGTATGTTAGCAAAGTAAATTGTACGCAAAATGTCTGTAGTGCATAATGGGTTTAATAAAAAAATACCATATTTAAAATTTTAAAAATACTATCTAGATTTGTATGATCCAAACAAGCGGATATAATCTATAGATAGGTCTAAACATTTGGATTTCGAGACTAAATTATCATAGAAATAGGTTTTTGAGTAAATACATCTATACCTAATACCAGATTGTTTTATTTGAGTTAAATAGAAGGTATTTATCATTTATGTATTATTGAAGTACCTTAATGAGTTAAGTACTTTAATATAAGAATTGATGTCGTCCAGTGGTCAAAACTCGACCACAATCCAAATAAAATATGAACTTATCTATATTCATCCCACGCTGAAAATCAAACATGTGATGATTGTGTACCAGTCTTCAATTTGTTTTGATTTTCTGTATATTTATCGTTGTTATTGCGTCACCAGAATTTTAAATCATAATCCAAATGTTAGTTTTTTGTTTGTGTTAAATTCGTTTTCGTACTTATTTTTCATCAAATTGTCTGTCACAATTTTATTTGTTCAATTGGTGTATTTTTTATTTAGTTGCAATAACGTTAATTATATTTACCTGAGAAAATGCAAAGTTAAAGACCTTCTGTTGTTCAGATGATTTTTGTTTCCCTTAGCATTATATGAATAATAATTAAAAGCCTTCAGGTAAGGGGCTCTTGGATATTTTCATAGGCTATTATTAAAATTGCTTGACTTTTATGAAAACATAGATTAATGTCATTGACGTACCAGATTTATTTGGCTTTAGAGGGCTTTCCTCTGCAATGATCACAAAGTTAAGTCCATGTTTCCTAATAAAATTTGTAGCACTTCGGCTAACATCCTCGTTCATAGTTTGTAGGAATCTGAATCTTGTAGGTGTTCTTCATTATACAGGCTAATGACGATAGTTAATTCTTTAAAAAAATATTATCTCTATTTCTTCTACTAGGGGGCGTTCTATGACTTTTAATGTTTCAATAATTTGCAAATGGGTTCTTTCAATGATTTATTTTTCAAAGATTTAATTTTTGTAGGACGCTTTTCTTTGAAATGCAGTTTAAATATTGACAGCAATTAAATTATACAGCTGATCAAAATTTGAACAATTATGATCTTCATAAGGATAACATGGGAACCTTCAAAGCCACTGGGGTAGAGCCCAAGGGACTTTTTCAAATCCAGTTCAAGGCCAGTTTGCAAATCTACGCGACACGGTCTTTCCAATGATACGTCAATGGATAAAATCGGTTAAGAAATGACGGAGGAGTTCAACCGACAAACTTCGTGTTCGCGTATTAATTATATAGATATACGTATCACGTTTCGTTTATCCGGGTCGCCGGAATGGTCGCCCCCGGAAACATCACCCCCCAGGCTAAACGTGACGTCACGAAACCAGACAACCAGCTGGTATAAAATCTATGTCCGCGACCGGAATCGTTCCCCCCCAAGGGCTTGACAAGTAATTTATCAAAATCTAGTTGATATGAACTAATTATGTTATTAATTTTAATTCAAACAAGTAGGAACGGAAAGGTCTTTCCCGGCAAGGCATCCCCTATGTACACCCCGGAATCGTCTCCCCCTGAAACGCTACCCCTAGTAGGGCTGGGCTGCTCGGCAGCCTACCTGCTGCCCGTCCTCCTCAGTCCTCAGTCCATTGTTCTGAGGGTCGGCCGCTCGTTCATTATTATTGTCGCTTGGACAACAGCTTTTCCACAGAAGAAAATTGCAGACGCTGTGGTGGAATATCAATCAGTAGATTTAGATGTGTATGCACTTCTAAGACAACTAATATAAATAATGCGAGCAAAGATTGACTTTAAAAAATGATTCTTTTATACTTAATTCATAACCAACGATAATGCGTAAAGTATACATTTTTTCTGTTGCATCAAATGGTAGTTATACTTATCAACATCAGTAAACTTACCTTACACCCTATGGTAATTGTTAAGCAACACATTTGTTAAAAATAGAATAATTTTTAAATGTATTAAAAATGAATCACATTGCTTTAGGTTTGGCCCCGATTTAATTAATAATTTGAAAATTAGAAACAGATTATTAAATAAGAATAAACATAATAATATCTTTTAGGGGATTAATCCCTTAAACTTATCGAAATAATTAATTGTTAGTAATTACAAATATGTAAATGATACTATTCTAAAGGTTATGCCAAAAAGTACCTTAATTCAGAAACAGCCTAGGCTAGTTTCATATCACTGGAATAGAGTCAAAATATAATGAAAGTATAATCAAAATATCAGAATCACTTTAAATCGAGAAGAGGACTTGCAATCAGTGTTGATATACCAATAAATTGCCGTTTTGAAAATATTAAGCCCATGCGGGACTTTATAAATACACTCTGTATATGTGACCGTGAGCGCGGTAACTCGGGCAACAACGCTGCGAGTTTGATGAGATTTGTTACAAACGTGTAAGCCTAAGTTTATTAGAACGAGTTCGTGAACCAGCATAATCGGACTATGGGAACGGGTGTGTCTGAATTGCGAACACCTCCAAAATGCTGGAGACTGAACATAAGTCGCCAAGATTGCGCACAAATATTCGGAATCGGGGAAAATGGATGAGTCACTGTTTCTTGTAATTTATGGAAGATTTAATACAACTGTTTTAAATGTAATGTTTTCAGACTTGACTTGGCATGTACAAAAACGCAAAGAGTGGAAAAGTAAACGGATAAGCAAGAATTCATATGGGTGGGTTTCATCGATTTCCACTAGAGTGTGCAATTAATTGTGGTATATTATATTTTTAAACGTGACAGAGTTTTTTTTTCATTTCAGGATTCTGAATCAACCACTTTCGCGATTTCGTGATTTTTGTGTTGAAATAAATATAATTTTCTAAGGAAGGGAATGTCAATGCCATGATTTCATTTTTTTAAGTTTAATTTTTTTAGTCTAGCAGCCGACGCTAATAATTTAAAGTCGTTTCAGTGCTGTTTTAACTAACAGCTGGTTTCAAACTGTCATTGACGTTTTTATGTTACAAGTAGTTTACTTAAATATTGATCGTCGGTGTTTGCCCGCATACTGTTTCAATTTTAAATGTTGTTTTTTCCTACCGTAACGGATCTTTGTATTCAGGAAATCTGTAGATTTGAACTATACATC